GCAATTAATTGCTGTCAGAAGTCACTTGAAGCCTGTATCTCATCACCATTGACAAAAGCTCCTTTGGCCCCATCCATGACCTGATGATCCCTTTGTAATTTGCCTGCAGAAAAGCAAGGTTCTCATTTCTGTAACATTTTCTAAACAAAGACTAACCCTAATAGTAAAGGCTATTACTTTATCAGAGTACTCTACAAAAAGCAAGTTTACTACATCACAATATTTGTAATCTCATGTTCCCTTAATCCTCTCTACTGAAGAGAAGAATTTTAAAGTCCAAATTGCTTAAGAATCTTGCACTTTTACTTTGTAGGGGAGCACCTTGTTACTGACTTCTTTATGATCTTATATGGAAAAGCTATCATCATTGCAACCAAGGAATACATTTTAGGACATGGGCCTCTACACAGTATATCTGCTCCCAAAAAGAACTCAGTTTTATCTATTTTATGTTTTATCTCCTTCTCATCTTCTAAATGATAGAGTATTAGTTTTATAGACTAAGATCACATTTCTCAAACTTTTTTGTGATCATCTGCTAAAAAAAAAAAATCTATATGGCAATATGATGGCAAAACAACAAACGATTTTCTCATTTGCTGTGATGATGAGATTATCATCTTCACTCATCTGGGAAAAGTGTATAATACGCCTTCTAATAACTGCATAATGTGGAAATGATGTCTGATCCTACAGTCTTTATTACTTGCAAGTAGTCCCATTAAAACTGGTGATTGCTGAAATGACTTCTGTGGCTGTCCGCCAAATAAAGAATGAAGAATCAGGACCTACAAATTAAAATCATGTCACCTTACTGAAAAATATTGTTGCTCTCATTGGAAGATAATCCTAGGATTTATGTTACAGGTATATATTTATATTTTACTTTTTTTTTTACATTATTCATCAAAATACTTTTAGTATTTACTTTAGTTTTAAAGCTACCTGTTCCTAAAAACGACAGAATGATATCTACAGCTCATATCAACACGTTTTAAAAGGTAGTTAGGAGCATTCATACAAGTTCCGCTGTCTTTAATCATTACTCAAATATGAATGTTATGTTTAGCAGTCAGGTTATCACAAACCAAATTCATATGAAGGAACGTGTATGTAAGATGTATGTTTAAACATTACCATAAATAAACTGGAGACCTTTTTAAAAATTCTTTTATGCATATAGCAAGAAGGATGAATCTATTTTAAAAAGGATAATTTAAATTAATTAAACAGGAATTACTTCTCTATTTCCAAATACAGAAGTACAGATTTCCCAGATGATTTACAGGAGAGAATTTTACATTTTTCTCTTGCATTTAAAGTGAGAGAATATAGAACACAGACAAATGTTATGACATAAAGTACAGAAATTCTGAGCAAGCTTAAGTGCCAATAACGATCACCAAACAGTACTCACTCATATTAAAGAACTCTAAGTAGAAACTTCATGCAGTTTTAATAAAATTCTTAGAAATTGAACACACCTCCAGTATGTATGGAAACATACAAAAAATATATATCTTCATAGATGGATATCAAAACACTGGTTTCTACTGCTATTACTATCTTATTTATCCAAATTAAGAAGTCACTGAGGTTTGAAGGGGGGAAAAAAACTCCAAACTCTTCCTATTTTGGAGATGGCACGGCATTCTCTTAAGCATAAGACTCACATAGTTCAGCAAAAATACATTCAAATCATAACACCTGAATACAGACCCTTTTCCCCACAATAAATTATCATATTGTTATTTTATTTCCCTTTTTACAGTTCTATCAGTAACCTTTAAGAATTAATGCACACTTTTAAAATAAAAGCACACTGTCATTAAAATTGATAGAACTTAGGGGTTTTTTTCTGTTTACTGAGATGGGCCATCTCATACAATGATACAACAGCTGGAAGAGGCACAGGAGACAAAGCTATCTGGATTGATTTCTTCCCACAACCGAACAAGATCAAGAGTGATGAAAAACCTGTGCAAGCATTTGTGAAATGGATTTAATGAAATCTGGCATTCAGAAGGGAAAAATGATAATTAAATGAGCATTAAACTTGAACTCTAACTCTCCAGATGGTGTGCAGAGTCTTCACAAGCCATTGTGAATATAACATTATAAGTCCTTGAAACAAGAATTCCTAGAAAGAAAAGAAAAGAAATCTAATTTGTTTCATGTTCAGTGAATACAGAAATACATTCTGATGTTTCCATATGCAAAATTTTAAGGTTTTGATTCTGAAGGCACTTTGAGCATGCTTCCCAGTCTCTTCAACAGTCAATCCAGATTATTTGAAGGATTAGATTTTATTGTACAGAAGTGCTATAATGCTCTTTGAAGTGAAAGGCAAGCTTTGGATTCCTATCACTTAGGAAAATCAGACCGAAAAGGTCTTTCCCATTAGGTCTGCAAGACAAACTACAAGGCACTTCCTTTTCACTTTACTGAAACAAGGAGTCTGGTCTAAAAAAGACAGAGAGAAAGATGGAAGAATAAGAAGAAGTTACTCTGGTAACTTCTGGTGTCACCTTCTCAATAAAATAAAAAGGTGACTGTCTGCCTCATCTCCCATCACAGTCTGTCTGCTAAAATAGCACCAAAACACCGGAGAGGAGGAAGGGTGTTAATGGTGACTCCAGCACTGCTATTTCATTATACTTAATGAACTGCAGAGTCAGAGATCAGCTGTGGAAGAAGCCTCTCTACCAATGAGTAGTTTTTTCTCCAATATCTTTTTCAGTCCTCAGTAACTTGTCTTCAAGCAATTAAAAAATGAAATTTCACCTTCCGAAGGACATTTCTAGTAGTATTCCACTTTAAATCCAATAGGAACTTACACCTAGATCCTGTTTCAACAATTCCCCATATATCTATTTTAAAAGTCTTAATTCTGTCATTCTGCTGATGTTTACACCCAAATAGTTGCATTAATATTCTTGTTTTTACTCTCAGGCCAGATTTTACATTGTTTTTTTCTTTTGTTCTGGTTTCAAGGATTTTTTCTGAATCTTTCTAGAGTTAGCTGCGAGGGAAATGATTTCATCATTCATAAATATTTCAGACATTTCTACTATTGTGTCTCTTTCTTGATACAGACTCTTAAGTTCTTGACACAAAATTTATCAGTATTCTGGACATTAGAGCACTTATCCAGACATAGATAAATCAAATGTAAATCACTTACACAAAGCAGACTGATCTAGATTCAGATCTCTGCTCTATTTCGGAAGTGCCTTGTCAAACAGGCTATTTCATTTATCACTGTATCACTGGGCTACACAAACCTGATAAATTCTTTCCAGTTAAGCTTTTAAAACATAGCACAGACTGCCAAAGTTTCAGGTTTTATTGCACAGTTTTTTTTAATGAAAACTATCCCAAACCATATAGTATAAATAAGTAAGTGAGTAAGTCTGGAGCAACCCTAGTTCTTCCCACTTGGACAAAAAAAGTATAACAAAGAGCTGGATGAAGAAAAAGTTATTAATTTAGTATCTTGAGCACCAAAAATGGAAAACAATTAAACAGGAAAAAAATGGAATTCATTTGCTCTCAAAAGCTTCATTGATCTAATTGAGAAAGATTTAGCTTAAACCAGCTGGAGATTTTAAGCAAACAAAATATTTATATCTGGCTCACATATTTAGTTTTCAGTCCTTACTTAAACTTATTGTTCCCTAGGAATGTGCAAAAGCAGATCATGCCACATAAGGCCAGGCAGGAGAAAAACCAACCAAACAAACCCACCCCACAACCCAAAAAGGAAACAAGAAAGCAGCTGAATTCCTAATCTAGTTGGTAGAAGATTAGTCTTGATTTGGTATTTAGCCAGAAGTTTACTAATTTAAAAGGAATTCTATCACCCTGAAAAGGGAATGATACAAATAGAAAAAGCACCATAATCAGTTTGGTGACTACATGGATTGATCTCTCTTTTCTTTATACAGTATAAAAAATAGAAGAAAGTGTTATGGTAATTAAATTAAACGGTTCCAAATGATACAATGCTTATTTCAATAAATTTAAGATCTCCGCTGTACTCAGACTAAGGAGGAGTAGATGCAGTTCCATGAGAGGAACGAAGGCTCCCTGTACTTGCTATCAAGGACTGGCAATGGCTACAAAATCACTGACTTGCACAGCTGTGTTTTCCTCCTCAGGGCACCAGAACAAGCCCACTGACCTGAGGAAACTTGTCTCATAGTCTTAGGACCTATGTACCTAGAGGAGCCTTTGGTAACAAACACTAATCAAGTGCCAAAGGTAATAATCTCAGTTAACAAAATATTAACAAAATTCATCTTGGAAGTAAATAACCATCTCAAAAGCAAAAATTATTTCTTACAAGTCATTTTCCCACCTCAACTGGCATTTTTTTTAATGTATGCTGCCATCAATCTACCTAAAAAGTGTTATGTGACAAGCATGCAGCTACCAAATCTGAAACTAAGCTGAGACGGAAACTGACAGGGGAGCAGCTGTGTATTGTGGAGGCTCCATGTCACTGATTGTTAGAAGAAAGGCAGGGCTTGCTCCTCCTCAGGGTTACAAGTACTTGAAGACTTTTAGACTGCATTTATGGTTTTTTGTAAAAAATGCACATACACAGAGTAAAAACAATTCTGAAAATTACTGGAAGAAGAAAGGCTGGATAATTATGAACTTTTGTGTAGGAAAGATGAAAATACTTAATTTACACCTGCACAAAATAGTAGCAAGTCAAACAGAGATTTTCTGTAGCATTACTTCTATTACTCTTTTAAGAATTTATGACTATAGCATCCTGGCGCAAGTAGTTGCTATTAACCACATAGTTTTGATACGGCTGAATAAAACAAAATAAAAGGAGTATAGTCAAAAGACTGTGGTCCTTAATCTTCTTGTAACTTTGCTTAGAGCAATGTAATTCCATGGAATTCAGCCAATATTTAAACAAGAAATATCAGAGTTCATCCTCCCTGCCCCCATGTTTGGCACTTAAATGTTGTTGAACTACTTACCCTTCCAGGGACCAGTCTGGAGACCAATCAGGAGATCGATGACGTTCAGGTGATGATGTTCTTAATGTAGAGCTTAACTGATAAGAGATTGTACGGTTGTGGCATCTAAGCTCCTGTACAGCACGTTCCCTAAATAAAAATTATTTTAGAGTGAGGCTAAGCACTTTTCAGAAATCATCACAATGACCTTAACATCAATTTTTTTTCTAACTAAGATTGTCAGTTTCTTTATTTTATTTTAAAAGCAGATGTGGTGTTCATCATATACTTCTCTGAAAGACAGAGTAGTGACTCTTCTTTGTATTACTCCCTTACTCAGATTTCCTTCTATGTGTCCATTGTCTCTATTTTCTCTAAAAGAACGAAGCTAGCCATGGTTGCTCCAGGTTAAACTCTAAAAATTGTAAAAATCTCCACGGAGGAAGAGCCTAATTTTATTTTTTATTCACAAGTCTGAAACATAAGGACAATCCTTAAAAGCAGCAATGATGTTATGTAAGAACAATGTTGCTTGCGGTACTTTTTGTCCTGTTGGAGCTGGCAAGGCCAGTGGACTAGAGTTTATCTGAAGTGCCCTGAAGCTGACAGATATTTAAGAGATGCTGGACTCCCTAGTGGGAAAATTGTAAGATGGTAGTCTAGTAATTTTGACTGCAAGGGTGGGGACATGGATACTGGCTGTACGGGAAGGAAGTACATGGGACTGGGTAACATTGGAAAATTTTGGAGGTACGCACTAATTTGGGATCCTGGCTTCAGGCTGCCAATTGTTTACATAAGGAGAATCTAGTCTGGGTTGGACTGTGAAACTACTAGGAAGGGTGGCTACAACAACCCCTAGTTTCAGTGTATAACCCCAGTAAAACCTGGACAATGGTTCACTATAAAAGAATGAGTGTTTGGGGAGGATAGCACTGACCCAGGCTGGAAAAAAAAACTACTCCAAGTTTTCCAAAACCTTGCGAACTAATGTATAGCAAAGACTACCTCTATGGTATTGAACTGAAACTGACTCCAGTGTGACTTAGCCATTACCACAGACCTACCCATGGAGTGAACCACTGAAGATCACCAAAACCTGCAGGAGAGTGATCAGATCCGGCACCAGCTCATGGATCTGAGGCCACAGGCAAGAAAAGGAGGAGCAGCTCCTCTAGCAGCAGGAGCCCAGGGAGGCAGTAACAGTCTTCCACCTAGCTACCAATATCCCACAACCTTGTGGAGGTCAAGAAACAGAAAGGGATGAAAAGATATGTAAAGTCATGCACTTGGGGCTGTCCAGGGGTACCTTACAGTCAGTCCTTGTGCTTGGTCACCACAGCTAGAATAGGATAATAAATCAACCTGTTGTTTCTACATGAGTCCAAACTGCTTCCGCAGTCAGAAGGATGGGAAGGATGGGGAAGTGCTTTTCCTGACTCATAAAGAAAAACCCAGGCAGATGGATTAAGCCTCCTGGTATCACTGTGTTGGTGCTTCATTCAAGGCCTGACAGCGTTGGCACTTGCACCTCCTAATTTCAGGCATTATTTCATTCTGCGCCAAGGCACTAAATCAATACGACCAGCTAAGTCAGTGTTAGAACAAGGATATCATCCACTCACTTGTTTAAATTGACAACAACAAAAAAAATGTCAGTACTGACATATGCTGCTTCCATTATAGACTATCATGATACTGACATTAATGGTAGTATTTTTCCTCTCTGGATAATTTCTTGGTTTTCACTTGCCAGTACCAGAAAAATAGATTGACTGTAAGAAGCCAACTTGGAGCTTTCCCTGCAAGCAAGAGAGATAGATACCTGTTCTTGTAAATCACAACTTCCCGAGGTAAAACATAAGAGAAATAAAATTCTTGTAACCTTTGCAGGACAGTTGAATGGACACTGTTTTGATTCTGTGAAAAAGCCAAAAAAAACCCCCCCAAAACAAAAAACAAACAAACAAACAAAAAGCTCTAGCCTTTCAGAGAAAGCTAAATCTAATGCTGGCCTCAGATTTTTATATGAGAACATTTCAGTCTCTGCTGTCTAAAATTTCTGCATATTGTTTTTGCAATTGACTTACAGACTACATAATGGAACCTAACTTCATTCTTTACAAAACAATTCAGATAATTATGTTTGTAATTCTCTTGAAGCAGAAGAGAATTCTCTTCAAGAATGAAAACTGGAAATCTTTGCCTCAGCATTTCTAATATTTGTTTTGCTGATCAACTGTAAACTAAGTGTTGATATTATTGCAACTATAAACAACCATGAGTAACAAATTATCCTTAACTAGGAGATGAGATTAAGTATCGAGAAGTATGAGATTGTATGGAGAAGTATGGAGGCTGATTCAACTTTCTGCCAATTTTTCTTCAAGAAGAAATGCCGTCCCTACCAGGGAGCACCCACACACCATGAGATGGAGAAGAGAAACAACAATCTGAAGATCGAGTTTCTTTTAAAACAAAGGTATTCCTGTATTGGCATGTAGTCTGGCTCATTCTACGCAGCTGAAGAAGTACAAGTGATGCCATGTTTTAATCTGACTTGCTCATCTAACCCAAAAGTTTAGCAGTTTTTGCCATGACTTCAGGGTAAAGGAGAATCCAATTTGAAATTGAAACATATACTGAGACATTTAATAAATCCATCTTTAAAAGACCTAACCTCAGGTATAGAAATGCCCCCTCCAAAAACTTCATCCTTAGTAGAGAACAGAGTATCAACAAAGTAATTCACTACAATTAAACAAGGCATCTGATTCTCAAACCTGTCCTATAATCACATCACTCTGCTTCTTTTAGCCATCTCTTTTACATACCCAAAATAATGCCTGACATGGTAATATTTTATCCTCAATACATCCATGAAACAGAGAAGTACTGTTGTTTCACAGATAAGAAAACTATTTAAGACAACAAGACTATGTAGATAAACTTAACTCATGAAGCAGGCCAGGGACCACTCTCTGGTACCATGGCCAAATCATATGAAACACCTTGTACATATTGTTAAACTCTCTTCCCACAAAAAACAAACAAACAAACAAACAAACAAAAAAATACTTTGGCCATACTGCCATTTGGGAACCATCTCTAGCACCTTCTGTGCCCCAAGCAGGACGTGGGAGAAGGCGGGTTGGTATGGGCTAAAATCATTCCAGAGTGTGTACTAACAAACTGTATGGGCAAGTTTACAGATGTGTGTCCCTCTCAAGTCAATGCTTTGACCTGGTTCACTAGTACAGGTGTAGCCAAAAGGTAACCATTCACACTGCAGAACTAGTAGTCTATAAATCACTTGTCTAGCCAACTAGTCACCTAGACACTTACTACTTATCAAGACAAACCACTATAAATAAGTGAAGACAGATGAGCATCATCAGGAAAATGATCCATCTCATCCTAAACCAGGCAAGTCTAGAGGGCAGTTTATCTCACTGTCTCATTCCATTGGCTATAAAGGGAACCTATACATGGGGTCTAAATTCATTGTCTAACAGCTACACAGACTGAATTCAGTGACATGAAGTAGCCTTCGAAAACACAGGAGACATACAGCACAGCAAGAACAAACTTTGCTGTTTATCCTACTGATTAGTCTAAGTCTTAGGACTACATTGTATTTCACCCCAATTAGATGCAGGAATGACAATACAAAAACATATACTTGCCTTTCAAAGCGCTCAGTCCCCAGCTGTCTTATGGTGATATCCAGTTCTGACTCTAGCTGAGCTGCTCTGTTTCTGAGCTGAGTAAAATCTCGACTCTGCACAGCTCTGTAAAGTCCATACACTTTAATTAGATAGCAACTATAATCCTCCAAGTATTTTACAAAATGCAATTATTCAAAGTTAAAAGGGCAGCTATACCATGCAACCAAGATTATGAACATTTTTTGGAGTGAAATATAACACTATAGAGAAAAGTCTATTAGGGTATAGCTGAGGAATCAGAAGCAGGTTTTTGGTATCTTCTGCTGTTAAAGTAACCAAGGTACACTGGCCATTTGAAAATGCAGCTAGATGTAAAACCATCTGTGTGCATATACAATTGGGAAGAATAAATAATATTCTCCTGGTCATTTACTCACAGTTTATTTTCTGCTAAAGAAAGCTGTTCCTTGAGAAGCTGAATTTCAGAGTCTTTTTCTTGCTTTGCTATCTGTGACTGAAATTCTTTCTCATGACTGGACACAAGCAAAGATTCCAGGTTTTTCATAGATGCTCTATCATTTCCCAGTTGTTTTCTCAGCAGCTCTATTTCAGAATGGGATGACTCATACTTGCTCTGCAGCTAAACAAAGATTTTAAAGTTTTACCTATCTATTGTGGTAACCTTTAAAAAAAAAAAAAGAGAGAAAAAGAAAAAAGGAAGTCTGGGATCAACGACCAAAATTTGCTCTTACTCCAAGATGGATGATCATATATATTTGCCCTCAGTCAAAATCCTGTGTTAGATTTGTAAATTCAGCCAATGCATACATAAATACAAATGTACTTGATAGAAATGAGAAAATGCTATTAAATATATGGATCAATGGATACAAACTGTAGACAGAATCATTAAAGAAGAGGAGGGAAGTTTTACATTTTGTTGAGGCAAAAAACCATATGCATGCAGGAAATGACACCTGGTATGACAAAACAATATCTGCATCTCCAGCAGAGTGAGAGTACACTTATTTTACTTAAAGGAGCATCAAGAATAAATTTGGGGGGAAGGGAAAATAAATAAAATTCAAAATGAGATTAAGCATCTATGGATCTTCAGGGAACTTAAAAAAGGAAGAACACCCATAAAACCCAAGATATTCCACTGAAAAGGGACATAACTACACAAAAAGAAAAAAAAAATATCCCAGAGACGTTGAGTCAGCGTTGAGTCAGCTACAGAGACACAGAAAACTGCCTGTTTTGATTTCAGCATAAACTAGATGATATTTTTACTTCATCTTTTCATGTCTACATTTTAGTATGTCTAACTGAGTCAATTTGGGGTACTGGAAACCTTTTTATCTGTATTTTACTCAAACCTAGTAACACTCACAAGCACAATAACGCTCACCCAAAGGTCATGGTAAATCTATGAACTGAGACATCTTAACAAACATGCCACCTCTCCAGCACATTCTTCAGAATTTTCAGAGGATAACCAGCTGTGTACTCAAACCAGGAAGATACTGAGAGAACTCAGGTCATAGGCCAACAGGGACAGGGGAAGGAAAAGGTGTAGGGGGGAAGGAAAGTGGGGTGAGGGAAAGGGGGAGAAAAAGAAAATAGCATTTTTCACTGTCCAAAGCAAAACTCAAATGATTTGGTTTTACCAAGCTAAACTAAAAGCTATCTTCAGTCTGAAAAATCAAATTTTCTACTGTCAATCAAACATCTAGTTCCTTTGCCTACAAACAGTTTTGATATTCTACTTTTGTTTTTCAGAACAAAAGAATACTGAAAAATTTAGACAGCATAAGGTATAGGAAAATAAACAGTATTAGAAACACTGAAAAAACATTATTCAGCACCATGTTTAATTTCCGCTTCTGAATATACATATGCTCCAATCTTGTCATGCAGATTTCTCCATTGGAATACTATGTAAAATGAGAGCTGTATCTGAAGGTTATACCTGGCTCATAAAAGACTACTGCTGAAAGCTATGAAAAAATTAGTGAAAATTTCCCAACTTAGACTTTTCTCCAACTCTCCAACTGCATTTCTGCATTTTTCTCTCCTGAAACTTGCTGATCTCCACAGTCCCAGCAAGCCCCTTCACTGAAAATCTCACAGATCAAGGAAGTCCTAGTCATATTAGATCTCACAAAAGCTTCAGACTAATGTCATATGTTGGAAATCTTCCCTATTCAAAGCATTGTAGAGGATTCCACAAACGTATGTGGAAGAATAGACATAGACTCATACAATGGTTTGGGTTGGAAGGGACCTTAAAGATCATCTAGTTCCAACCCCCCTGCCATGGGCAGGGACACCCTCCACTAGCCCAGGTTGCTCAAAGCCTCATCCAGCCTGGCCTTGAACACCTCCAGGGATGGGGCATCCACAGCTGCTCTGGGCAACCTGTTCCAGTGCCTCACCACCCTCACAGGAAAAAACTTCTTCCTAATATCTAATCTAAATCTACCCTCTTTCAGCTTAAAACCGCTTCCCCTTGTCCTGTCACTACACTCCCTGATAAAGAGTGCCTCCCCATCTCTCCTGTAGCCCCCTTCAGGTACTGGAAGGCTGCTATTAGGTCTCCCTGGAGCCTTCTCTTCTCCAGGCTGACCAACCCCAACTCTCTCAGCCTGTCCTCATACAGGAATTGCTCCAGCGCTCTGACCATCTTTGTGGCTCTCCTCTGGACTCGCTCCACCAGGTCCATGTGCTATGTCATTCCTGTGCATCACACATATTGGGCTGGAACAAATAACCAACTGTCAAGCAGCAGCTTTACCCATGGCATACAGAAAAAGGCATAAAGGTTAAAAGAGAATACTGGAAGCATTGCTGTAAAGAACAAGAAATTATCTCAGCTGGAGCAGAAGATGGACAGGACAGTGACAGAATCATATTGAAAATATCTGAATAATCTGCATATGCATGAACAATTTTTCAAGCTGACTTTTTAAAAATTTGCCTATCAAACATTAATTTTGTAGTTTCTGTAAAAATCAAGGCCAACAGAAATTGATCTTTAAGGGAAATTAAGGAAAGATTATTAAAGAGATATATGTAATTCCAAAAACAGTCAAGCAGTTGAAAGTCCATGTTAAGTTTCTTTGCTAATAAACTACTCCAGCTATTCTGCTTATTTAGTGACTAGATGTAATCCAAGACATCTTTCAAGAAAACAACCATTAATTTGAAGTCCTGACTTTTCAACAGTCATAGTAAAACCCTGAAAAGCAGTGTGCTTTTCAAATGGTATACAGCATCATCATCTGAGGAGCCCCTGAAGAATGCCAAATTAAACACTGAAAAAATTGAAACAACAATGATCTATAGGGATTTCTTTGATCATTCTAGATCCCAAAGACAGTTTAGATCCCTTAAATATTAACATAAACTTATTTTTCTAATATATTTCACATACCCTTTCTATCTTCTCTGCTGTGGAAGTTAACTGCTGATTTAATTGTTCATTGACTGCATGGAGTTTAACACAAAGTTTTTGCGTAGATGCGAGCTTTGCAAGTATAGAGACTTTTTCCTGATGCATGTTTTGAAGCTCTCCTTCCATTTTCACAAGAGACTTTCTTAAGGCAGAAATTTGAGACTCATATTCTGCTTCTGTTGTTAAATGCTACAGTAAAACAATACCAGATAATCAAAACTCTACTGCAAAGAAAATTTTAAAATGCTTCCAAAATCCTACAAAAATATCACTATGTAATTGTGGTGAATTTTAAGAGGCACCAGTCATTTATTCTGGAATAAACTTTATATAAAAACTAAAAGAGAAGAGTTCTTGTTTCTGACAGCAAAATCAGCTACTAACATTTTAAATTCTATTCCTAGAATTCTACTCCTTCTGTAGACCTAATAAGGTTCAGAATTCTGCTATAGGTCCCATTCAATTTTCAGGTTAGACCCGTTTATTTTAGCAATAAAATGTATTCTTGCGTGTAAATGACCAGTGAATGCAGAGATAATGTCAGTCATATTTATACTGCTGTCACACATAAACTCAGGCATGACTAAGAGACGACCGAAGTCACTCTAAAGAGAAGTCCACAAGCCAGCAGTAGTTCCAACCAAAGGCATTCAGAATTTTTGCATGTTTTAAATTAGCATAACCTAGGTTTTTCCTTTTTAAAAGTACAGTTTTCCTGTACTTTCCCCAGTAACACCTGACTTGTATTTCTGGTCACTTTTAACTACTTAGTTTTCAGTAGGTGGCAGAATGAGAAGCTGACAAAAGCAAAAGGAGAGATTTTTTTAACTGTAACTTCCTTGAAGGATTTCTTTGGAATGAGACCAAAAGACATGATTGTAGGGCGAGCACATCAATTCTAGCTCTGTCTTGCCTAAAAAAAAGGCACAAGAAACACAGGGCAGTGCTAAGTTTGTTAAGATTTTTTTAATAAAAACTTCTGTGTTTTAGATATGTGCACATGTACCTGCTATGAACCTGAACATGATATCCGTCTGGAATTCTGACTCAATTTGTTGGCACAGTTTTCATGAAGAGGCCTGTTTATTGCTATGCATAATAGCAGGCATGTGGGAAGGAACTAGAAGGATGAAATCTCTATCCCTTTCAGGCTGCCTGGACAAACTAGGGCCATGTGCCAGTTTTATTATATTCAAAAAATGTCAAAATCTGACATATAATCTTCCTGTGCTGTTTTGCTACTGTTCTCATCCACTTCCTGAACAGCAGTAGTGCAGTTCCTCTTGAGTATCTAACGTGCATGGCAAGTTCTCAGTAGCCTACGTGATATTCACGAAGCAGAGATATCTGCAACAAAAACTGTTTAACAACCCAGTATTTTCAAAGACATCCTGTGCATTTCCCTTTAAGTTTTTCAGACTTTTAAATGGGAAGAAGATCTTTGGGACACCTAAAGCAGTGGAAAGAAGGTTGAAAAGCTGGAAGCAAGAAAAAGCAGGGACAGGAACACAACAGGTGACAAAGCAGTAGGTATGTTTCAGGTATGCTGTGAAGTTGTGTGTGACATTATGCCTTCAGTCACTCCAAACATGAGAGCATTTTATAATTTTTTTTCCTTGAAATATGCTATTTTTAATTTTTTAAGATTTTTTTCCAAGTATGACTAGTGGAATCCTAGTCATGTTGTTAAATAAAATCAAACTCCATACAGTTCATTGTAGCAAATATCTCTAAAATATGCCAAGTGGCATTAAGCAAAATTTTAAACAGTTGGAGGCTGAAAGTACTACCAGACCATTTCAAGGGTGAACTATGGAAAGAATGATTTCAACTTACTCGCTCCACCTCTGTTTCAAGGGACTCCATTTTCTCTTTCAACTTGCGGTTCTCGGACTCTGCACTGATCAGTGCCAGTCTAACAGAGCTACAATCTGCTTCTGCTTGATGGAATTTTGCTTCCCAGCTTTCTCCTTGTTCACGGGCTTTGTGGTAATTCTCCAAAAGCTCACAGTTCTCTGTCTCCTAACATATAAAGCTTGTTTTTTTAATAATTTACAGTAAGCTTCACAAAATAGGGGTATCTATAGATCTACAGGTATGACATGGTGTTGGATGTTCTCTTTCCACTGAAAACTTTGCCATTTAGCCAAAACATTGAGAGACTTCTCAAGAACCAGTGTTTTGTTCAAGAAGGTCACATTTTAATTCTCAAAAGACATCTGTTAAAAATGGCTACATTAACATTACAAATACGAAGTACAGCAATATATTGCAAAAAAAATTTATTTTTTTTTTTTTTTTACTATTAATCCTATAGGGACAAGAGAGTCCCAAGTCTCTGTATTATTCACTGTCTGAATTTTTAAATTTAATAAACACACACACACATATATATATGTATATAAAAAACACAATGAAATATACTTCATTACTTGTGTATTGCAAAAGCAGCTAAGAAAATGTGTTCAAACTATTAAAAACATATTAATAGAATGCAAATGACTTTTGACTAGGAAGTAAATTCTTCTCTGGAAATATGGTTAAAATTTCATTTTTAGCTAAAGCAACAGCTTTTCTTAACAAGTTTAATCCATATACTCACTTTAGACTTCAGTACACCCTCCAGCCTGACAATATCTGTATTCAGATCCTGGGCTTCCAACTTCATACCATCAAGCTCATTTTGGTATTTTGTTAGGTTTTTATATAGTACCTATGAAGAAAGATTTGTTTCATAAGGTTAAATTATACTGTTTGTAGCTTAAAAAAAACAATAGAATTAATGCATATCTAATGCCTCTGGCTTTATTAACTCATTATTTAAAGGCTATATAAAATCTAAACCATGTATATTTCTATAAACAAAATTTTGCATTTCCAAAAATATTTTGTTTCTTTGACTTACAAATAATGTTAAATCTTACAAATAAGAAAAATGTCAATAAAAGAATGTAGCCATTAAGAAGAAAAATATGGATGGTTTATTTAATAATCAGCTAGATGGTCACAACAAAATAGCCTGCCCCATTTAAGGAGAAGGACTCAGAGTCCTCTTTTTTATGTCACAATCTCTTAAAAGCCCAAATTTGAAAAAAGCAGAAGACAGCTAAAATCTTGAATAAACTAATTAAATGGTTGTTTCCTGATCAGGAGGAATAAAGCCACAAGTATCAGGAGAAAGCACACAGAATTTCTGGCAACTATTGCTCTAGAAAGAGAACAGAATGAGGAAAGAAACTGTAGAAAGGCTGTCTTGACCTGCCCTGTTCAGAAACTCTTCCTTACTAAATTACTATGAGAACACTCAGCTGCAAGAACTGAGGGAGGTGGGGTGGGCATGTGCATGTGTGGAGAAGGCTATGGATAAACCCCTATTTCTATCATGAAAAGTCAGAGCTGCTGAGAAAAGTGCCCTGGAAATCTGTGTCAGGAAGCCCAAGTGAGAAATGAGAACGTGACTTTAAATATTTTGAACATCACCTAAATTAATGGAATAACCTAAAGGAACCAATGCATGTCATAGAGGCAAGCCCATTAAACAGTAGCTGATCTTTGTTTCTAACTGCTTCTACAAGCATTCAGGCATTGCAAAGAAAACCATGAAGCTTTTGAAAGTAGCTAGAAGAAACAGGAGGCTGTGTTTTGTACCAGCTGACCTCATCAGTATCAACTGTGATTCTGAGAGAAGGTTCAGAATAGTGATTCTCTTTCACCAATCCACGTTTCTAGGGACACTCACTATCTAACTTTGGTGGTTAAAGCTACTACGGACCTTGACTTTTCTAGGATACTCAAAGAGGGTGCTAAGGAGCAAACATTTCTATAGTTCAGAGAAAAGTTACTTAGAGTTGTCTCACCTAATTTTTGCAGCAGAGAATAAGGCACCTGATCTAAACTTGTTAGCTGTGCCTTCTCTGTGATGAAGAGAGAGGGGTAAAATGAATAATTTTTAAAACTGGGATGAGATGAATCTCCTTCTGGAGGATTTTTTCTTCATGTAAAAGGGAGCCTTAATGCGTGAAAACTTTTGTATAGCTAAAATCAGGTGAAGTTACTCTGCTCCTTCAAAACTGGGTAGCGCTTCTAGAGGAAGAGAAAGCTAGGAGAGCAGAAAGTATTTTCAAGGGCAAAGATATCCTAAGCAGTAGAATAAGTGCAGAGAAGAAAGAGCAAGTATCAGAAAACCTAAATGAAGACAAGAAGTTGAACAAAAAGAACATTACACAGTGATGAACTGTTACAGGTATTCAGCTTAATTTGTAGCTGCTTGGAAAACACATTGATGCATGAACATTTTGTGTGCATGAGATGACACTTCAGTTTTAAGCATTTTAACTAGGTTCATTAGTAACTGGACACAGACAAATAACACAGTAATGTTGCATTATAACAAAATATTTCCAGCATCTCTTATCCAAAAGCCATTTTAAAGAACCATAAATACAATACTATTAATAAAATTTTGAACCTTATTACAACGTGTACCGTCTTAAATTATTAGCAAGTCAAATTCATAAGCTTGTAAGTGTTCTGGGCCAGTCACAGCACAGCATGAGAAATACTCGCTGCCTCCTTTATAGTACTTTTCCATATAAGCAATAGTTATAACTGCCACAGTATTTTTACATGAAGATCAGAAAAAAAAACATACATTAGCTGTTCCTCAAGATAAACATCCAAACCATTACGTAAGTGTAGTTGGTCCTCTTCATACAAGTAAGCTGAGCAATAAGGGGAAAATCAGAGTTTGAAAAATTAGCTTAAAAACTAGATTGCAGATTTACTTCAGATGAGGGCCCACCAGTTCTATGCACTACTTGAAAAATACAAAATTTTCCTTTTTAGTCAAGGGTTCTCTGTAAAAATATACCTGATTTTCTTGCCTAATATTAGAAAGATGCTCTTGTAACCTCTCATTCTCCTGAGCTAATGATTCTCTGTTCTTGTTAGCCTGTGCAAGTTCTTTGTTGGTTTCTTGTAGCTGTTGATGCAAACTGGCGATATCTTTCTCACAGATACAGAGTGCTTCAGCAGATTTTCTATGCAACAGATAATAAATACTTCAGGTATGACAATACTGCCCAACATAATAGAAATGATAGCTTTTCCAGTGGTTAAGTTTGCAAGTCATGAAACAAAGCTGTAACATTTTAATATTTAATAGAGTAAAAAAATATTTATACATTAGCACCTCCTATAATTCAGTTTTTGAGTTAATATTATAAATTAATCAAAATTTGGTAGTGATCTTGACATTTCATCCTTACTTTGTGGTATGTTCCAACTCAGAAGTCAGAATCTTGAAATCTGAAATTATTTTCTCCTTGAAAAGAAATACAAAATTAAAATAAACCTCTCACCACTCCTCAGTAGAAATGGAAAAAAGCTTTAAATAAGATTATTTATCTTTTCCTTTTACTCGGATAGCTGATTAATTTAACTAATGGATTGTGGTTTTCCAACTTTCATCATGTACTGTTTAGAGCTGAAAATTCTGATAATCTAACTTGGCAAATAAAGGAACAAATATTAATATCTTCTGCGGAGTATAATAATTTTAATTAATTTTTTAAATCCTTTGTCATGATAAAGGTAGCATTTGTCTCATACTCCCAAAACTAAATTATGTCATCTGCCTATTAGATAAGTTATCACAGCTTTTCTGCAATGAATAAACTACCAGAGTCTGGTAGTTTGCAATTGATAAAACAAGAATTCCATCACAAAGTATATTACTTTACTCCCTTGTCTTCAGATGCAGATATTAAAAGGAAGCATAGATAGGCTAAGGAAATGTCTTCCATTGGAGACACAAGACAGGTGAGGGACAGCCACCTCTTCTCTAAACTGGACACTATTTTACAATTTACAGTTTTAAAAATGCAAAGTCAATACTTATGGCAAGATTATTTTAGCTCATCCTGCAACATCTTTTCTTTGAGATTTTGTGAAAAATCAATGCAAATTCTTGAGTTAACAATCACAACAATTAAAAAATACCTTCTTTGGCTTATCCCAAATCAATATCCAGTTGACTTAAGCTGAAGTGAAGAATGATGTTTCAGATCTAAAAACTAAGCAGCTTCATTGTATAGTTTGAAAACACACTGTGCAATATACCTTAAATTGAAAAGAATTGGATGCTTCTTCAATGACAACAAAGACAATATTATTTGGCACCCTGCATCTTTAACTCACTGGATCCTAAGGAAGAATTTAGGGTAAATTTTATGATAAACAAAATATTTTATTGGCTAATTTACTATTCTCCACTTCAGGAAAGTCCTTTTAAGGACTTTAGTCTTCTCTCTTGATAAGTGTAAACCACACAAAACACTAAACATGAGATACTCAACACCGCTCAAACCTACTACTCTTGAAGTCAACATGACTTTTATTGTTCCCTTGAAACTAGAGCAGAACTAGGTCAGCACTGAGTACTGTGGTAGATACCAGTATAAAATAGGTGTCATGACCCAACAGATCCTTTCCCTATTTACCTTTTGTGACTATATTACTATTTCCGTGTTAGAACATACTTTAATTTCCAGGCTTTCCTCGAGAACAGCAATCTTCTCTCTTCCTTCTTCTACACAGTCTTGCAAATACGCCTTCTCTTTATCAAGCTGTGCAATTGTTTCTTTCAAATTACAGATTTCCTCTTGTTGTGCAAGACTTTGTCTTGAAAAGTTATCTGGACACAATCAGAAAGGTCTTGTTTTTATTAATTCAACACATTTGAAATAAAAATTCTGTTGATATCCTTCCAAAGCATAGAAGAACATGGCAAAACCTCCCCTTCAAGAAAACACTGGAACATGTAGCTTTTCAAAATATATAAATAATCTGACTGATATTTATAGAACTGCATTCTTCCTTAGATCAAGGCCCTAAATTACTTGGCTCAAAACAAATCTATCTTTAAACAGCAAATGTATAGATCATTAAAAATAACTTTCTCAGGTATTCTAACAATAAAGGCTATTATGATAGACAGAAGCAATACGTAGGCTACAGTGTGCAACAACTGATAAAGTAAAAGAGATTGATAACTTGATATTAGCCAGTTTTTTTCTGAAATTATTTTTTATTTAAATTACCTTTATGGAAAAGTAAGAATAATGCATTTATAAAATTCAACACCACTTAAAAATTGCAAAGATAATAATGAAAAAAAGCAAGCTACTCATTAAAAAAACAAATTCTAAAAGATGTCTCTCCGTATTGTAATTCAGCTAAGAAGGTGTTACACACTACATTTACCTTTCAATGGTCAGAGAACCAATCCTTATATGATCTACATACAGGGCATTCACAGAGGAGAACAGAAATTTCTCTTAGAGTGAACCTTACATCTCATAACAACCATGCAAGCTGCAAATCACTCTTTAAATATCAGTGCACTTGGGCTTATTGAATGATACTTATTAACCACTTCCAGGAGATAAAACATCCAAAGTAAAATGATAAGTAGCTCAGTCTTTCACGGGCATCATAGCATATATTCACATTCTGTTTTTTTCCACAGAATCTCTCCCTGTTTCAAAACAGAAGATTGAAAGGCATGCAAATTCCCACCCCATATTTGTGGATGCATGGCTCTGGAACCTGCTGACAGTGTTCAAACCTGGCTTTAAAGCAGCTAATCCTGGAAACCATTTCCAGGCACGTTAAAGACAAGAAAATCATCAGTAGTAGTGAGCATGGCTTCACCCAGCGGAAGTCACACTTCACTAACTTGACAAACTTCTATGATGAAATTACTGGCCTGGTGGGTGAGGGGAGAGCAGTGAATGTTGTCTACCTTGAGTTCGATAAGGCCTTTGGCACTGTCTCCCATAAGATACTCATGGACAAGCTGCTGACATTTGGGCTGCATGAGCAGTGAGGTGGATTGAAAACTGGCTGAACAGCCAGGCCCAGAGGGTGGTGATCAGTGGCACAAAGTCTAGTTGGAAGCTGGTACCAGTAGTGTGCCCCACGGGTTAATACTGCATCCAGTCCTGTTTTACCTCTTCATTGATGATCTGGATGATGGAGCAGAGTGTACTGCCAGGAATTTTCCTGATGACACAAAACTGGGAGAGTGGCCGATACACCAGAGGGTCATGCTGCCATCCAGAGGGACCCTGACAGGCTGGAGAAAGGGTCTGATAGGAACCTCATGAAGTTCAATAAAGGAAAGTGCAAAGTCCTGCACCTGGGGATGAACAACTCCAGGCACCAGTACACAAGCTGGAAAGCGGCTTGGCAGGAAAGCTTGTGGTCCTGGTGGACGCCATGTCGAACACGAGCCACCAATGTGCCCTTGATGCAAAGAAGGCTAACAGTATCCTGGGCTGCATTAAGGAAAGTATTGGCAGCAGGTCAAGGGAGGTGATCCTTCCACTCTACTCAGCACTGGTGAGACAGGCCTGGAGGGCTGGGTCCAGTTCCGGGCTTCCCAGTACAAGAGAGACATGCACATACTAGAGAGAGTCCAGTGAAGGACCATGAACATGACCGAGGGATTGGAGCATCTCTCATGTGAGGAAAAGCTGAGAGAGCTGGAACTGTTTAGCCTGGAGAAGAGAAGGCTCAGGAGGAGATCTTATAAGTGTCTGTAAATATCAGAAGGGTGCAAAAAAGACAGAGCCAGACCCTTCTCAGGGGTGCCCAGTGGCAGCACAAGAAGCAATGGGCACAAACTGAAACATGGGAGGCTCCCTCTGAACATCAGGAAACGCTTTTTTTCACTGTGAGGGCACTGGAACAGGTTGTCCCAGGGAGGTTATGGAGTCTCCTTCCTTGAAGAGATTCAAAAGTCATCCAGACGTGGTCCTAGGTGACTGACCTCTCAAGCTGAGGTGGCCCTGCTTGAGATGGGGGGCTGGACAAAATGACCTTCAGAGGTGCCTTCCAACCTCAACCGTTCTGTGATTCTAAGCATTCTTACTATTTTACAGAGAAGGAACGGAGGCACAAAGATCAATTTGAAAATGCTATCCCGTTATTTTGGATGCCCAAACTGTGACCCAAATTTTCAAGACAGAAAGTATTACACATTTAAAAAAACAACCATGGACTGCTGCCACAGCTGTGAGTGCTCAACATTTCAGAAAATTAATAGCCAAAGACTCAAATCAGGCACTCTGAAAATAGGCCATATGTATAGTTAGTTAGAAATTCTGAAAAGTTTTGTTGTGCATCACCCCAAAAATGGAAATTTCACTTGAAATGTTGAAACTATCATTTGCATTCAACACTTTTTCTTTCAACCCATAAGGAAAAAAAAAAAAAGAAGAAGAAAGCAGTAATGTAACAATTAGCCTACTGAATTTTATTACAAAAACTGTATCTGTCACTCACCAATTTTTTCATCCAAAAGCATGATTTTCTCTTGGGTAAGTTGCATTTCATATTTTTTCTTAACAAGGCTTTGCTGAGCCTCTGAAAGACTCTCTTCTGTCCTTTCATTCAATAAACTGGAAAAGCAGAAACATTAAACAGGATTCAGAAATTTGTATATTGATATTTTCCTTTTTGAAATGTCTCTGAAATTGCAAAAGTTAAGAAAAAGCAAGATTCTTCTGTATATTTTAGCTTATTTTGGATATTTTATTAACATTAACCTTAATCTCTGGATATTAAAGTCTGAATACTCCTGTAAAGAATCCCAGAAAAGTAAAAAGCATTCTTTACAACAGGTGGACGTAAAAACTTCTCAGAAATTATGAAAATAAAAATCATCACTTGGGATATACATTGGAATGCTTGACCTATTTCAAGTTATACCCAAGTCATACGTTCAAATCAAGTAATAATATTAATGATTCTCAAACTGTTGAAGAAACTGAAGAGATCAGCTTGGTTTGAGGGGAAAAGAAAAAGATATTTTAGTTGCAGCAACTGATCTTCAACAACTCAATTTTTACAGTATTCATAAATCTGACAACCTATTATAAAGCAGCTGTAACTCAGGACTGGATTTGGAAAGGTGTTCATGTTATTTTAAAAATCACAGTATCCTTAGGAAGGTATTGTGGGCCAGCATAATATTGCATGCTAGCACCCAGCATTCCCATCAGTCAAAATCCAACAAAAAAAATCTACAACACTCATGTGTTGACTACACCAGTCACTTGTAAGGACATATAGGTTTAGGAGAGTGTTTGCCTAACTGGATTATATTTAAGGAAATACAAGAGGAAAAAGTCACAGTATCTTCTCTTGCAATCTGTTCACTCTGTAGCCTAGTTCAGTCTGTGATCTAGTCCTCCTTGTCTCTCTGCACAAACTTCACACGTGCTTGACCCTTCCCTCCAGTCAGTAAATTATCCTTTTTTTAGCTTGCACTCACTGACCTATGCTTTCTTCCCTAAAGACTTCAATTAAGCCTAGTCCAATTACATTCTTCTGAACATGGTTAGGAACTCGGCTGAGCAGCAGGCTGTAAACCCTATGTAAGGCTTCAGTTTTATTTCCTCTCATGAAAAAGCTCCAAGACTAAGAAAAGGATGTTTGAAACTAACTACGTGTGACACTCATTAGTCCTTGAGTGTTTGCTTGCTTCTATAAAAACAACAATAACAATGAAAAACTATTTTTAATTCATATGCAGTTTACCAAAAACCATCAATCACTGCAGCTTCTAACAGAAAGCTCCTAACTCTAAGACAGAGTGAATTTTACTTTTTCACTGAAGATGGTTTTCAGCATATCATATCAACAAGCCAAGAACATTTACATACAAATAAGCAATGAGGAAAAAAAAATCATTCCAAAAAGAAGGATGGCTCATAAGAGCAACTATCATAAATTCCTTTCCCTTTGATCTATATAACAATTACGAAAACCAGTGAACATAGGCTGACATTACTAAGCAAACCAATGCAATTACATACTTTTACTTACCTAAGTGAAACATAATCAGCTTCCCGTCGGCTCAGCTCAGTTTCAGAGTCCAGTACTCTTCTTTCCAATCTTTTAATCTCAGTCTCCAGAGAATCAATGGTGTCTTTCATTAGTGCCACTTTGGACATCTGTTCTAGTCGTTCACAGTCTAACTATAAATATAATTAAACATTAAAAGCCAAAAAAGCTGATTTATAGATAGAATTTCTCCTATTAATTCAAATTCTACTCTGGTTTTAGCACAAATCTGTTACTGAAGAAGAAACGTCCAAATATCTGATTCACTCAGGGCCTGACTCCAAGACTACTGAAGGTAGTTGGCAAAGAGCTGAAATGTGATTTTCACTTCCTTTGAAGGACAATTAATTTCCTGTCTTTCCGATCTCTGGGAATATTTTAATTTATTAATGTAAATTTTAGGTTGGTAATTATGCCCAAGGGCAAAAATGTTTGGCATTGATCAACAGTAAAAGTTTTCAGTGCAAAGTAACATAACAGAAAACATGATTGCATGAAGGGAGAAATCACAGTTTGAGATACAACACTACCAGTTATGGATTTAGATCTCTACTAAGTTATACAGCTATGCCAAGAACTAAACAGAGAAATCACTGTAAAACATTCGCGTAAAGCACTATATGACCAAGATACAGCCACGAGGCCTTTAGGCCTGGACTTAGAAAAATTAACAGGTCCCAAAACTCTTGCACAGACTCCAGCAAAGCTTGTTTGAAATCTCCAGTTTAAAGAAAGCTGTGTTTCATTATTAAAATGTTTACACTTAACATTTAAAGAACTGGCCTTTCTAAATTATTTGGAACTGCTCTTTTAAGGTAAAAAATTCTTACCTCATCCCTCTCCTTATTTACTGATTCTTTCAATACTAACTTTTGTGCTACTATAATCAAAGGTCAGACCACTGAAGAACAAGTCAGTAAGCCTCTGGTATGCAGTAACTATGTCAATACTAGTGCCATAAATTTCATATTGATTTATCACCCTCAAATGGTACCAAATGAACTGAAGAAATAAGATGATGTACCTAAAACAGGACTATTCCAAACATTCACTACACATCATATATCAAGCGTGTGATTAAGGCTAATTTACTACTCTGAGTACTCAGAGCTGTTTAAGCCTACAGTATATTCTTCATCACAGATGCACTTTGTTTAATATTACAATCCTTGGAACCATATTTATAAGCTTGGTAGGATTTAAAAGGCTGAAGGGAAAAAAGAAAACCAGAATTTATAACCACAGATCTAGAAGAAAGATACACTACAGAAATCAATGTTAATCTATTAAAAAAAAAAAAAATCGAGCTCCATCAAGACCATACATATATTTAGAATTTATATTCATTTTATTAATGTTTTCATTTTCTATTTTAGCTCCATATATTAGCAAACAATTGCACACACAAGTAACTTAAATCACCTTAAATAGGACCTGCCAGAGCAGTATAATTACATTTGGGTTTGGAGCGTTAGGTCTAACAACATGCAATCATAAGATAATTCACATTGGAATGGACTCCAAGAGGTCTCTAGTCTAAACTCCTGCTCAAAGCAGGGCCAGCTCTGAGGTCAGCTTGCTAAGGGCTTTGTCCAGTTGGGTCCTGAAAATTTCCAAGGCTGGAGACTGCTTGACTGTCCTCATGGGAACGAAGTACTTCCTTGTATTCAGCCTGAACCCTTCTCATTTCAACTGATGCCCCTTGGTGCTTATCCTTCCACCATGTACTGCTGTGAAAAGCCTGTTTCTGATTTCTTGATGAGTACTAGCAGGTAGGACTTAGGTCCCCCTTAAGCCAACTCTAGGTGGAACAAGCCCAGTTTCACCAGCCTCCTCTCACACGGAGAGCGTTCCAGCCCCAAATATCATGGGAGCCCCCCATTAAACTTGCTCCAGTTTGGCAGTGTCTGTCTTGCACCATGGTGGCAAAACTGGATGTAGTACTCCAGATGTGGTCTAAGGAGTGCTCAGTAAAGGGGGACAATCACTTCCCTTGAGCTACTGGCCATGTCCTGTTCACACAGCCTAGTACACCCGTGGCCTTCTTTGCCACCATGCCACACTGCTGGCTCATGTACAGCTTGCTGTACACCAGGGCCTGCGGGGCCTTTTCAGCCCTTTTCGGGGCCTCCCAAACCCATTGGTCCCCAACTTGTGTTGGTGTCAGTGGCTCTTCTTCACAAATTCAGAACTTGACATTCGTCCTTGTTGGACTTCATAAGGTTTCTGTTGTCCATTCTTCCTACCTGTCTTGGTCCCTGTGGATGACAGCCCTGCTCTTGAGTATATCAACAGTTTTCCCTCATTTGGTGTCATCTGCAAAGTTTATGAGCCCACATTCTGTTACCTCCTTCAGGTCACTGATAAAGATGTTAAACAGGACAGGCCTCAGAACAAACCCCGATGGTGTCCCATGTTAACAGTCTCCAGGACAAGTACGACCCATTAACTCCGACCAGATAAGACCGACCATCCAGTCAAATTTTCCCCCCCTCTAGCTGCCCTGCCCATCCAGACCACAACAGCCAAACCTTGATACAAGAACACTGAGTGTAATAGTGGCAAAAGCCTTGTTAGAGTCTTGGTAAATAACATCCCCTGCTCTCAGCCTGTTGTTTCCTGACAAAAAGCAGCCAGGTTGGTCCTGTAGGATTAACCATGAACATCACCTGTATTACATTTACAATTCCATAAAAAATGATTTTCCCTTACATTTCGAATAGTAGCTTCTAGATCTTCAATCCTCTGTTCCAAATGAGCCTTTTCATTAAACGCAGTCTCTCGGGAAATCTGTATCAAATAACACCGCCAAGAAAATCACACACAGAACAAGTCTGAAGTCATCACAGACATGTAATGCAATTGACTCTTTAGCAACTTTAGTTACGCTACTAAGTAGTTTTCATGTTCAAATGACCAGGGGGCAGGGGCAGGAATCAAACCTTTAACTGCTCCCTGAGGCTATCACGTTCTGTAGTCATCCTTCGGAAATCCGACAGTGCTATATCCCTTTCTGTCTCCACATGTTTTAACATAGCTTGAGCTGTCACAATACTTTTAGGAGTCCTGGGGTATTTGATAACTTCCTGATGAAGTCGGGAAATCTCTTCCTGTGCCTATTTTTAAAAATGGCAGCACAACAGAAACAAGGAATAGATAATGTAATATATTACTGTGGCATATGGCTGGTAATGCAGAGCATCCCAGAAACTGCAATGTCAAAGATGAAGTAATGATTTGTGGGTATATTCTTTGATTCAGGAAAGCATTCTTAACTCAGGACAGCACTTACAAACTTGCATTTAACTGACAGATTCAAATCACAGAATTTCCATGATTTTTTTTTCTATTTTTTAAACCAATGCTTTGCCTATTTTTCTTTTTCACACAAAATCAAAAATAGGATTTTTTTCTTGCACATCTCCTTAAATTATTTTATTTAATCATACAAATATGAATAAAATTACCTGTTCATAAAGATTGACTGTTTTGTCTCTCTCAGCTGTTAAAACTTTTAAGTTACCCTGAATTTCTGCCACATGGCGCTCATATTTTTTCAGTGTTGACTTAAGTTCTTCACGTTCTCTCAATATTTTCAAAACTTCTGGATCAGAACTCACTCCCTTAAAGAATACGGTGATATAAGGTTAAAGTAGAGAAACAAAACTTGATATGCTTTCTTATTATATCTGGTTTGGAAATTTCTATAAAGGATTTCATAAGCCTTCAATCTAGTAACCTCTAGATAGTAAAAAATGTACATATATATTTCTTTGTATTAGAGACCAGATATACATACCATTTTCTAAAACACACATCTATTTTGAGCAGCAAATGTCTATCACAAATGGTACTGACAATCATGTTAATAATTACTTAAAGCATAAGCAGTTGTCAGTAACCATTTAAAGTGATATACATGCATGCAGTGTAAAGTGGCGGTTAAGTTCACATTATTTGCCCATTCCCGTCTTATGTATTCTACCGTTTATAATCAATTAGCTTTTCTTCGTTGTACTTATGGCTTTGGTAATCTAGCATAAGGTAAACCATTATTTTAAAAAATGCATTCCTTCTCTTTCAAAGTGTTTTCTAAGCTCACCTGGATAGATGAAAATTTTTTTGACATGCTGCCACAAGTAGAAGTTCGCTTAGGATTTGAAAACGCGTTTCTAAATACCTTCAGCAAATTCTCAGTCTCACTTTTATAGTAGTCTCTGTCCTCTTCCAATGTCTTAATAAAGGTATCAAGCCTTGAAGGTGACTTCCCTTGCTTTGTTTCAGCTTCTGTTTGTAAAATAACCTGCATGTGCAAAAATGAGAAAATTCATTCACTGAACTAGAACTTTCGTAATGAATGATACTTCAGTGTAAAACAGAGAGACATACTCTTCAAAATGAAGATGAAGCAGATACCTAATTAAAACAAATATCCATTTAATACTTTAAAGTGACTCTTGAATGCCTGTATTTTCTCATTTTTGTCATATTGCAGAATATGTCTGAATGTCCTTCTAAAAAGGATCTAAGAGGACAGAAAAGGACATAAAAGCTAAATGTTAAACAACTTGGAATATATCTGTTCAAAACTAAGGAGTACAATTAAGTAGATTTGTATTGAAATATCGAATTAATTTTTAAAATGAAAAAAATTAGGCCACTATGTTTGCTTAAGATCCATAAAAGGTGAATTTTTGAAATGGAAATAAAGTAATGTGCAGATAAACTGAAATCCAGAAAGTCATGTAGGGACATAAAACAGATTTTGAAGATGAATTGCAATTCCGAAGTTCAAAATTGCACACCAAACCCCTCACCATGACAATCTATCCATCAGAAGTACCTGGACTCATGAAAGTTTAAGCACCTAGGGAACACTAAACTCTGCAAATTTATTATTTATGTTAAGACACATGCAGAAGTAAGTCTTTAAATCTCTGAAAAGTGATAATCACCTAAATCTCTTGGTGAATCTAGCTCTCAAATCTCAAACTTTCTGGCTGAAGAATCAAAATCTTTCCAAGGTAATTGAGAATAAATCTCTACATGGTCAGAGTGATTTTTTTTCCAGAGGAAGTCCTTTGCAGGATTGTGGCATAAGCTCAAATATTTTATTCAGGAAAGAAAAAAAACAACTACTCCCACCTCCCTGAAATCTGAGACAAATCTTTACATTACAGTAAGAAATTATTATCTTGAACACATTTTTAAAAATTCCCTATGAATTTATACTGGAAGGAAGTGAATGAATCCACTTAATAAATTTAAATGTTAATTTAAGTTAGATTTACCAGAGGCAAATATTTCTACAATTAAAACACTGTACACATTTCAAAATATTCCAACAGTATCATAACACCTTAAGTAAGACAGAATATAAAGATAAAAATTTTAAAGAAAATAATGTTACTTCTTTCTGTTTTGCAAGTGATTTACAAGGTATTCAAAACACTCATACACAATTTTGTAAAAAAAAATTATTAAGGTTCTCAAAAACAAAATCTTTACAGGCTAGTTGCAAAACAGAAACAGATTGGCACCCATCCAGAGACAGAGAACTACAATGAAAACAGATATGTTTATCCATTCTATAACTTGTCTGTGATCAGTGAAAACAAAGCAAGTGAAATTAATTCACTTGTACGAGTATTAATTTCATGTGGAAATGACCCAATTTCATAACTACATATATATTAAGGATATATGTTTAACTCACAGATTTTAGTGTTTTTACCGTGTGTTCCAGCTTCTTTATCTTGTTCTGCTGGTGTCGAATTTTAATCTACCATAAAAAAATTGAGAGCAGTAGATGCGTTCATTTTTTATAATCATTAGTGCAAATCCAACATTTTAGCTCAACTGTTCTAGTCTAAAGGACCATTTGTACATGTTTTCTAGTTTGACTAGGCTATAAAACATACTATTTAGTAACAATAAACTTAATCTAGAAGGGAATCGGTTAGAAGTTTTATCTTCAGATGCAGTCCAGGATTAGGAAAAACACTAACAGTTGAGTTACTCTCAGGTGAGTGAATGAAAAAGGAAGCATGGGATACCTTTTCCCAGAACTGACTTACCAAGAAACTTTTGAAAACAGGGACAGGGTGACTATACCTACAGGCTAAAGAAATAAGTATCTAGTTATACTAATTGCAAACAAAGAATATGCTTCCTCCCATTTGACCACTACTACTAAATCACATAACTGCATGTGCATAGAATGCAATTTTCCATTAGCCTGTGAAATCAAAAGCAGTTTTCACTGAAATTACATTCTTTCCAACTACAAGTGTGATTTTAATCCCTGAACCAGTCTGCACTTGAAAAATACCACACTGGTCAGAACCTACTCCTCCTTCATCCCAGCAAATATACTTCAAAGCAGAGATGAAAGCTAGAAATTCAACCCAAAAGGTCAACTGCCCCCTAAACAGTTCCCCATAATACTAGCAAACAACATTAAAATATCACTGCACAATATTAATGCTAATAAGTAAATACCTTTGCTTCCTCAAGCTCCTTATCAGCAGTATTCAATAGCAATTCTTTTTCCAGCTGCTCAGATAGTTTGCCAATTACAGCAAGTTGTTTACACAGATGATCATTTTCACAGGAGAACTTAGCCACTTGACTTCCAACCACTTGCTCCTTACCAAGCAACTGAATTACATGTTGCCTTAGCTCATGGTTTATCTTCTTCAGATCTTCAATCTAGAACAAGGAGGAAAAAAGTATTCTACTTCATCTTCAAGGACGTGCAGGGAGTATTTAATAATAAGAAGTAATTTACACTTAAAGAAAAAAATCAGTACACACGATTCACAAATGAAGAATATGCATGATACTAGCACCATTTTGAACAGATTAATTCTGAAGTGTTCTGGACAATGGAGAATCTGATCCTTAATGTTTATGCTAAAAACTGCCTCAAGCTGAGCTGCCACTACAGTTATTCTCTCATAGTACCATGAGAGGAAATGTCTCTCCAGGCCTGGTCTCAAGTTTCCAACAGCCTTACTCACTACAGTTCTGTTAGATCTTAGGAATGCCCTTCAATCGCCCTCTCTGAGTTTGGCCCATATCCTTGACATAGACTTCACAAAGGCCAGCAGAAATGTAGCAGATCAAGTATTGATACTAATTCATCAATTAATCAATATAAGATTAATAATTTTCCTGAAACAATACTGTCTTTAAAGAAAGAGATTATATGGCCTTTTTGTAATAAACCAGGAGTCAATAACTATTTTGGTACTATCAACTTACTGTAACATCTCGGTCTATAGGAGCATTACTGCCTCATAAAGCATTTCCATTTTCCAAGTCCTCAGCAATGCAAAAACTCCACTGCTTGCACAGGCTGATCCTATAACGCATGCGAAATCAGTGTGGCTGAATACCAAATTCCGTGAGGCTCGCTTGATCCTAATAGTCAGAGAGTTTTCTTCAGGTATTACTAGTAGCGCACAAAAATACATTTTGAATTGTTTAGGAAGACCTGAAAGATGCTTTGTGAAAAAAAGCTTTCTGGGTGGGCTCTGTTCTGTTGTGTTCAGTAGTAGTTAATTTTGCCACTTATTCTGCTCAGTGGACATACAAATATATTAGGAGAGTCAGTGAAAAACAAATTAATTTATTTTCATTGTAGTTTTATGTTTATGTTTTCATCAAGCCTGACCTAGCTAATGCTGCTGAATTAATAGCAAAGCACAGCTATAAACCTGAAAACGTGACAATCATGGATTGGTTGAGTGGAAAGTAGTTTTTTAAAAAAAATTTAAAAGTAAGGTTTTTTTAAAAAGTAGTTTAAAAAAAATCAAGCATCCACAAAAGACAATAGAGACAGCATCTGTACCTCTGTGTTTTGGGATTCTTGCATCTTTATTAAGTTATAAAATTTGGGGACAATGCAGCTCTGCTAATACTGGAGGACATCCACAATGATGCCTGTTTTACATGGTGAGAACAGGAGTGCTAATGAAGGGCAGGGAGGCTAGATCCTACTCTGCATCCGATTCTACAAACAACACTTAAAATGACAACATTGAAGTCCGAGTCAGGTCTACACCCTCAAGCCCCAAGTAACTGGTGACTACACCAAAAGTGGCTTCATTGCTCCATACAGCCAACCTGTATCACATCTTAACAGTCTAAACAATGATTTTTCCCTCTCATCTTCTCTTGGAAAACGAATAAAGTTCCGGCAAGCATTCAGAGATACCGTATTTAAACTACAAAATTAAGAGTTCTTCATGGAAAATACCATTTTAGCAATTTACTCTGCTTTATACAGACATGAATTATAATTTGAGCACCTTAACTAATTACAATTATGCTCACAATGCTATACAATGAAAGCAGTCCCTAAGCAGACAAAGTTACAGATCACTTAAGGTTTTATAGACTCAAAAAAACAATACCACACTATTAGCAAATACTCATAGCCATAAAAAATCATTAACTATAAACAACCTTCACTCCTGTCATGCCATTGCGTTCTGCTCTAGCTCATCACAGCTTGTTCCAGCAATAAGAAGTGGGGAGAAGGCTACCATTTAACTTCCTAGGCACAAAAGGATGCAGAAAACCTTTTTTTTTTTTTAAGCTATATTAAAATAGAGGAAATACTTGATAATAAGAAACGTGAACATAACTTAAAAATTAGCTTCATCTATGAGCATCCTCTCAAATATAGAGCAAGGCCAGAAACATTCATAAATGCTCAAATCCTGTTCAGTTCAGCTGAACATAGGGATATGAAGTGAGTTTTCATCAACGCATAGTACTGCCGCCTCCTATGCTTCCTCACCCATCCGCAAACACCTTGAAATACAAGAAGGAAGAGAAAGATTAGAGTCCTCTCTGGCAGTTTTCTCAGAATAACCATGACAAAGTAGGGTCACTGGAATGAGTCCCTCAGTGAAAGACGAATGAGCCACAGTGAGACAGGGCAAACAGCAAGCACACCAGTGCCTCACGGTGCCAGACACTCTGCTCTTGTTATAATAATAGGGGAAGTAGCCCACAGGTCTAACGACAGAATATGAACATTATGAACAACTACCCGCCAGCAGAAAGTGGTCACCACCAGCATGACCCCAACAGTTTCTCTTCGTGCTTAGATTCAAGAGTTTCAAGGAAATTTAGGGCAGCTGGTTCCATGAGTTATTTCCCTACCACATTCAACCTCATCCGAATCAAATCGCAGCCTGACCATCAACCTCAAGGTGCTTTTAAGTACAGATACAAGTGATAGTTTTATTCAGGAGTACAATTCAGCTGACTTAATTTGGGGTATCTATAAAGAGGCATTTCTAGAACATTATTCCCATGATCCATTTCAGGCATTCATCCTAAAATTAATCATACCCTAGGAGTACCTCTGACATAGACATCTGTAGTACAGTCATATTAATCTCTGACGTCAAATTTGATGAGGTGAATCCCCCTAACATTCTGTTCCCTCTGAAGGAGGTGCTCACTACTTCGTCCGGTTATATGCACTGTGCTAGTCTTTCCAGAAAGTGAACAGGTGGGAGTAATCTGCAAGCTATCAGTACCTTCACTACCTTGCTGAGCATTGAGGACTCAGATTTACAAATGGAATACACAGTATTTGCTCGCTCACAATACTACATTTACTCAACTTGTGAAAGAGAACTTTTTGAAAGACATGATACTATTTATATTTCCTACAAATAACTATTATTTATGCTTGCCATAAAGTGTCAAGATTTAACTACTGCTCTTGACACATTTCATAGAATCATTAAGGTTGGAAAAGACCTCAGGGATCATCAAGTCCAACTGTCACCCCGACACCCCCTAACTCACTAAACCATGTCCCTAAGCACCACATCTACACGTTTCTTGAGCACCTCCAGGGATGGTGACTCCACCACTATTTCACCACCATCCTCTGAACTGCGATAACACAACCCCCTTACCACTGGGACGAAACACCACCTTAGGACCCCCTAAGCTTCCTGCAGCGCTGGAGACACTTGCAGCAGGCCTTGCAGCATCACCAAAATAATTCACAATTAGGAAACGTTTTGGACTGAGGAAGTCCCCAAAACTGGTTTTGAGTTCCAAGTATTTCAGCAATTAACCATTTAAGCCTTTCCTTTCCTCCTTGTTCTCCACAGCGTACACAGCACCACTACCCGGAACCCCCGCACCCTCTGCGCCC